CAGAGAAATGAGACAGGGAGAAAGCCCAGAACGGAGCTTTTTTCACGCAACAACACAGCCGGTCGGACATTGAAGCCGAACCAGCTGGGAAATGGAGATCTATAGATCCGTAAGCAGATCGAAAACCATAAATGCAGATGGAGAACACAAAACGGAAGAAGTATTAGATTTCCGCAGCTATTCCAAACCTACCTCTTCAGCAAGTGACGTAGTGAGAGGAAAAAACTCTGATCCAGAGCCAAAGCAAAAAAGCGAAACTGTAGGAAACCGAGCGATAACTCCACAGCAGCTTGACAGCGACGGACAATGGCGTTTAACTTAGGGGGGTGCTGCTAGCTGCTGTACGACGGCAAGAGTCACGGGAACGCCATAAATGCCGAACTCGAAGAAGGAGAAGAAGTGGAAAAGAGCGGGGGGAAGATTTAGAAAAGAAGAGAGAGAGCTCTTCCCAAAAATCCCCTCTTTTGGCAGCACAAATTTGCGAGAGACGCGATAAATTGTGAAAATTTGAAGGAACAAGAAGACGAGAAACCTTTTGTGGCTTTGTCCGCTACTTTCACGCACCCATTGTATCAAACGAAGAAAAAAAAATTAAATAAATTTTCCCTCCCTTTCTGTTTCTCTGACTCCATAAGCTGGATTAGGAAAATGTAACAGTGTTTTCTTCTGGGATTTTCGTGGGAAACAAACGGAAAATTATGAGAGGCTGAAAGGGAGATCAATCGAATTTTGAGGTGGGAGAGAAAAAAAGTTTGTTTATTGTTCAATTAGTGCTGTAATTATTTTGAAATTATTGATGTTGTTGTTGAGAGGCGCTTTTTTTTTTTTTTTTTACTTCCAGGAAGAAAATCTTGGGGGAAAATAATAATTATTTAAAAAAGAAGAAGTAGGTAGGACCCGCAAGACGTATTTGCGAAGATTTGGCATTTGGGCCTGTTGCGACCCCGCTAGTCGGATAGCACGGAGGCCCATGTCTTTTTTTGGACTTTGCGGAACTGTTATATCCATTAGTCAATTTTAGGAGTACTAATTTTTTACAAATTAAATATTCTTTATGCCAAACAAAATTGTAATATAAAAATTGCTAAAGGATGGGAATTGGGAAGTGACAATTGGAATGTTAACTACCATCCATGGATTGGAATAATCTTATTCTTAGTCCCTTTACATGCTTAATTAGTTTGAGTGGGAGAGTTACGTGTGCAATTCATATATTCGATTTTAGACGGTAAAATGTAAATATATGAATATGATGAATGTATTACTGAAAAGTGGTAAGTGTATAAGCTATCAACTCCCTCGTTTAATATCCAGATTCAATCCCCCGACAGGTTATTGTAGTTTGTGTACTTCCAGCTCTTGCTCACTATAACTCGTTGCCGTGCATTCGTGCTAATGGGCAATGTTATGTAATTGCGTTAAAAAAGAATTTACATATGGTGAGCTTTCGTCAACTTCGTTTGGATCAGTTTAGGTACAAGTTTATGGGTACCAATAGATGAGTGGATACTTGATGATGTAAAGAGATGTCCAGTGTCGAGAAACAAGCGAATTGTTCTACCACGTTAATGTTATAAAGCCGATTTTTTATAGCAAGTCACTATGGGAAAAAAAAAAACATCACACAACATACACGTTGCTTATAAGTATACATATACACAACTGGTTGTGATTTTCTGCAGATAAATGTCAATGAATGAAGGGTTAAAATATAAGAAAATGACATAATATAACATTATGACCTATCAAATCTACGTTAAATTACACAAACATTGTTCACCTTATTCTTGATGTAAATACTAAATACTCATTCCCAAGCTCCAATGTGAATTACCATTTCATATCCTTTCACTCAATTTTACCTCTTAAAGTTTTTGCAACTAACCTTTTTTTATATCGATTAATCTCGGTGTCAAATCTATCAATTGTCGTCTATAAATCAATAAATTCACATCCAACGGAAGGGAGAAAAAAGGAACTTGTTCCAAATGGCATATTCTTGCTTGTAAGGGAATTAACAATAGTTGACTCAATGGTTATTTGTCTCCTTAATTAGCTTCTTATTTTCTATTGCACAATGCTCCATTTGTAAGTTTCGTGGAACCAAAATCAATCATGTAGCTGTATTTTGCAGCATCATACTAACGTATGTACATGAGATAAAATGTTATATAATAGAAGGCATTGACTGTGCAAATCCTCGCTTCCCCGATACTTTGAACTACCAGTGAATTTGTTAATGTTGATGAACATAAAAAAAAAATTAATCGCTTGCTCGAAACTCACAAGCGATATAACTGTTTTTTTATGCACAAAAACTACAAAATACATCACCTCGAAATTCTAAATTACCTGATCTTTTTACGCAGGCCTTCCTGAATGCAACGAAATTAACTCCTTATCGCTCCCACTACTCCTACAGTCTTGCCTCGGCCGAAACTCCCCAAAATTAACCCCCCGGCCCAATCGAGCTAAGCTACTTAGTGAAGCTAACAACACAAATTAGCCAAGTTTAAAACAAATGACTCAATGAAAATAATTAAGCAAACCCAAATGAAATGACACTCCCTTAGACCAACGAAAACCAATCCAAACTTCTCGATTCATCGTATGTTCGTATGTGTTATAAACGCGCTGTTACGGATCGAGAAATCGCCGGAATCGATAAAGCGAGAATACGGAAGCGAGAATCGAAAAACACAGACACACGATTTACGTGGTTCACTAACACGATGTGTGTTAGCTACGTCCACGGGCGAGAGAGAGCCAGTTTCACTATATATTGAGGAGATTACAGATTACAGAGGAGTACGAGAAGTATTTATAGTACTTCTCCATGTGGGTCTAAACCTAATCCAATCTGATAAAGGAAACGGTTACAGACCAGACACAGAACCCGAACTCAAATAACACCCGAACCCAAATAACAGCGTGACCCCCGATTACCAGTCGTAGCGGCTGATAGTCCGATTCAAGTCACATCAACAATATGACCACACAACACATGACAAATATGAGCATATCTTGGACACCAAACTTCATTTTGCTCCATATATTGTCATTAATTCCCATTGGATGCTTACCACGTACGTATAAATTTTCTCTTCTATTATCGGTATTTGGAACTTCCAAAGGACGAACCAGAATCCCCAAAAACACTGAACACACAGCGCTTCGAGACAAAACAGCACGAAAATGATCCAGTTTCGTCGTCGAGCGCTGTTCCATATGTGGAATTGAGCGTTTTGATTTCACTATCACAGCATCAAACGTTGCTTTCCAAGGTTACCATCATCATCATCATTCATCCATCCATCCATCATTCTTCGCTTTCGTCACCGATCCTCCTGCTGCCGGCCCTGGGCCGGCCGGCCCAAAACGTACATACACAATTCTGAAAATTACGTTAATGGCTGATAGCAACGATGAACAGTCGGCGACATAGAAAGAATAACTTGCTTGATCCATTTGGGTGATTCTAATTAGAGGGTTTTGATTAATAGCTGTGCTGCTAGGTTGGTCTTTCATTAACCTCCAGGCCTTGACATATGTAGTGTGGTACAATCAAGGGGAGAAGGAGAGCAACCAATTCGTTGAAACGTTCAAGGTCAAATGTCGGAGATAGAACTGTGAATAGAATCCTCCATTAATATATGGTAGAGTTTTGTGTACTTTTCTCCATTTCAAATTTCCTGTAACGAGAGTAAAAATAGGAAGGTCATTTTTGTTTTTACACATTTATTATTTATTTCATATAAAAATAGCAATATCAAGATTTGAACCTGGGTCTCTTCAAACAAAGATAACAATAACAACGAGTTACAACTAAACAAATTTATTGCATCCTTTTTTATACAAAAAATAGACAAAGTTAATCTCTGAAAATCAGAGGACTTTTTAATCATAATTAGCAAGCTCAACAAGTCTACCGTATGTATTTTTATCGAGCTTGATACTTTTATTTTCATAGTAGAGATTTCTCAATTTTAAATTCTCGCTCTCTCCTTAATTTTTGCTAAAGGTAAATGGGTAATTGGCTAACATGGAAGAAACTAATTATGTAACTACGTGTTGTATCCTTGCATTTTTCAATTTAAATTTAAATTTTTTGTGTTTTTATCTTTGTTCTTTTCTCTTTCTAACTTCCTCCGAAATTTCATCCATCGTGCAATAGTTTGCGCCTTTCACTTCCCAGTACAAGACTGTCATTGAAAATCAATCTTCAGATATCTCTTGGCACTACGGTTTTATTGTTGGGATTTTAAGCTGGGCGAGTAGAAGATTTCAACTCCGATATCAATTCATGGCGAATAAAATGGAGTTCATCAATAACTGAAGTTGTAGAAGGAGGATTAGAAATTGAATTTTTGGTTGAATATATGCCTCTTGAGATAGAAATTTGGTTGTACAACGGAGAGTGGTGGCTATTGGATCTTTAGGTTTATGGTTTTTGCAACTGTCACAACCTATTTCTATCTTAAAACGAGGAATCATTGATTGATTGTTTGAAATAAGTCGCTTCTTTATTCAACCTACTGGAACTAATAGATAAGGAGTGTCTAATTCTGCGCCTTATTACTTTGATCGAGTCTATTCGCATATTGGAGATAACCCTGATTTTTTTCGTTTGCTCTCAAGTTGTGATGGTCCCCTCTTAGCTGAGTTTTTAGTATATAGATGGCTTGAATCAACAACTCTCCATTTCTTTTTGATTAGTGACATATTGTTTCTAAAAGGAGAGCATTGAACCCTTTATATAGGATTGTGAGGTTTAAGATTTAGTTTCAAACTATCTATGGGGTGTGTGAGAATTTCAGTGAGCTTTTATACTCTATATTTCTTGACTGTAAAAAAAACTAACCAATAGCATTTTAACAGGGACTTAATTAGCATTATGAAAATGGGGTCAATGATACATTTTTATATTTTATATTCTTAAATAATTATGATATTTCTCCGAATGTTCGACCTATATATTATTTCTTTATGTATCATCTCGATCGCATGATTATCAATAAGATTAAATGGGTTAATAGACTTAAAAGTAATATAAAAATAATCAAATATGAGTATTCCGGCCAAAGGGCCGGGTTATAAGCTAGTAGAGTATAGAGTCGATCATAATCCTACCTACGTGATTTTGAAGTTCGCTTGGGAGTCGGGGTTCAAAACTGGTAGTTTTATATAAGGAGTAATTAAGGATTATGAGATGGCGCTCCAGCTGATGATGATTAAGCGAGTCGATGGGGTAATTACATCTATATGTCGTCACTACTCGCGAGATGGTTCAATTTCACTGGATGAGTGTGCTGTCTGTCCGATACTTTTTTTTATGATGGTAACTTCATAACAACATAACAACATATCTTGTGCTCTTAGATAAGTGGATTGGATTAGACTAAGTTCACATTTTATTAAGTATGCTAGACTGCAATTTAGCCTATTAGTTGATAGATGGTGCATTTGGAAACTCTGAACCCAAGTTGGGTAATGATGATGGTCAATGACGTGCCTTCTTACATCATGTTTCTAACAACAAAAAAACATCGATATTAGACATGAAACTAAGCATTACTTCTAGGGGGTTGGACATTTTGTTCATTAAGATAATAATCTAATAATGAGTATTTCAAGAAGTTGGTACGTCATCTGGTAGTCATACATTATTGATGCTAATGTTGAAAATACATAATTTCTAAGATGGACAAGCTTGCATTGTTCCTTTAGTCATTATGGATTACTAAGTCAATTAGGTTAAAGGGTTAGGTTTGGATTTGTGTTTTTTTTTTCAGACTAGGGTTTAACCGTTTTAAGACATTTTGATACTTTAACTACTTAAGTGATACATGTTAGTATTTGTGAGAATTTGTTACATGTTCAAACTTAAGTGACCATTCTAGTAAATTACCATACTCAAGTGCGGCGACCAAACGACGTCACTTTCTCTCTATCGATCAAAACCTTTCTTCCTTCTGCGGCTCTCCTAGCTTTCCCAAATATCTCCGGTCTCTACCGTCGCTACTCCGGCGAAGGCGGCTGTCCTGGATTTCTGGGTTTCCCCGGCGAACAGTTCGCTCTTGCGAAATCCGATCTCTTAACAAGGTAAACGCTGCTGCCTTCCCGTCATCCGAAAGCCTCTCTTTTCTCACTCTATCCCCTGATGTTCCCGTCTTCTTTCCTCTATCACTGCTATTCTCTTGTGCCTTTTGTCGCACGATCATGGCGTTCCTAGGGAATTCCGACTCCTCGATCGCATCAAAGGCAACCTTGTGAATGAATTGAGCTGTTTGTTTCTCTGATTGCTTAGAATTCCTGAGATTTTAGGTCGAAATTGGTTTGGGGAAAAGTTTGCCTATGAATGCAGATAATGATGGTTTGATTAGTGGCCTTAGTTCCAAATCGAGCTACTTAGGGTTTCTAGCTCTTCCATTACAATAGATTTATAGGTTATGATCTGGTCTTAAATATAATTCTCACTAGTTAATGTTTCTGATAATTGCAGCACTTGGGTGGAAAAGATGCAAGATCCAAGATTGCCACTTTCTGGTGAAATTTCCAACGGTAAACCACGTAAGAAGAAAGCCCCATCAACTTCCAGAGCTTCAGTGATTCAGCTGAAAGGGAATGATGTACGAGAGATTCAACATGGGCAGGCTGCGGGAGTTCCTTTGCCTCTAAAAACTTCTCAGAAGTTGTCTAGCAAGAATTTGGCAACGAATGAGTACACTCCTACTACCATGTTTCAGCAGACGGAGAGATCGAACTCCGATTCCTTGCCGGAATCTTCTGGTTCGGGGAATGATTACAGGGCATTGAGGAGGAAGTACTTGCTGTTGGAAGAGGAAAGCTTTGCATTGGGAACCGAGTTGACTGAGGTTGAAGGCGAGGTAAACACTCTCGAGTACGAGAAGCTCGCGTTGTTGGATCAGCTCATTGTGCTTGAAGGTCTTGTTGACCCTTTGGGAGTGCAAGCCCCCTGAACTCCTTTTGCTACTGTGCTGTGATTGTTGTACTTGGGATACTGTGTTGTTAATAGATGGCTCATGGCTTCTTCTGGAGTCCGATATGGTGGAAAATGGAGCAGTTTGGTTTCTGGTTTTACAAGCTGTGCTAGAAAGGTTGGCGCATATATACATTGAGAGCTAAGATTTTTTCATGTTGAAAGATTGAAAGGAGTAAGCAAAAGAACAAGTAATGTGTATTGCTGGCTTCTAATGGATTCATTGTTGCTATGCTCATCGAGTGTTTTTGTTTCTGGCTTTCATTGTTTGGATGGATTCCGTACTACACTTACTGTACTTCAGTACTAGTGATTTTGATGGGTCTTGAGTAGTAATTACTTCATTTCTTTCACTGCTATCTGACAGTTTTGTTGTCAGAAACATCAGGGGAGTTAAAATCTAAGCCCTATGGACTATTAAGCTGCAAGTTACTCTATCCTAGATTGACTTATGGCTTTACTGGGATAATCTGTGGAAAAAGTTTTAATCTTTCGTCTGATGTATTGTGCTCTGTATATTCTTATTATCATAGTTGTCCTAGCTGAATTAGACTTGAACTTGAGACTACACATAAAGGTAAGTCCAAAGAAGGTACGAAGTGAAAATTCACTTCTTCCATGTACGTGTTAGTTTTCTCTATTTACAGTACCTCAGGTGTCTCTTACTCTTAATACGGCGAGCTGGATTCTTACTCATAATGAATATGCATTTTCCTTTGGATCATATTTTTTTTTTTACTGCTGTTTTGGGATTTCTACAGATGGATGAAGATAAGATGAAAAGGAACAGTCACCAGATGTGGAGTTTACAGATGTCAGATGCTCCTCGCGGTATGTAGTTATCAATTATTGACTGGAACTCTTGGTCTATGATCAAATCAGAAAGTCCATACATATCCTATTACTATGCTTAGTATAGAAGGTATTTGAGCTTTAAAGATTGAGCATTTCCATGGCTTATGTCCAGTCATCCTTTCTTAGGACTATATTACACCTTGCGGGCAGTCTAAGCAGAGCACGTGGCTCAACAGATTCCCTCATCTTCCAAGGAAGAACACGCAGTAGAACATATACAGTAAAGTATTACCTTGACAATTTTGTCAGTCGGTCATATTGGGAAGTTGTTGCCCAGCCACTCATAATAAATATATACTTCTTTGACGGTTTGACCAACGAGAAAATAAATAATAGAAAGGAAAAAGCCAGTAACAACGTGCAGGGAAAGAAGCCATTCAGAATCACACTACCAGCAATATCATATGCATATCTCAGGACAGAGAAATAGACAAGTGAATGAATAGAGACAAAGGCAGTATGGGAAGGTAGTTATATCCTCATTGAAAGCCTCTGCATATCTAGAAGATCCTTCTCTTTCTCCTTTCTCCCTTCTTCCCCTCCTTCTCCATTTCCCATCTTCTGTAATCTGCATAGACACACAGGTCAAGAGAATCAGGTGATGATTCCAACTGTAACTCCAGTTCTGCCCAGATTGGATCGCCTTGGTCGACTGGTAACTACCCTGATAATTTATCTGTTGATGCCATCGTGGAAAAGAAAGAAAGATGGTTAATTTTGGCGTGTCTGTGCGTGTTTATTTTTACTTGCAGCTGCAGTTTCTGGAAGATAAGTACTTGGTGCTGGAAAAGCCCAAAACTGAAGCAGCTGCTGTGAAGGTGATGGAGGATCATCAGTGCATGAGTTTATCAGCCGCCCTCGAGCTAGTTAAACAGAAAGGCAGCCTGGTGGAGAGGCTCGAATTCCTCGAAAACCGCATCTTGCAGGTATAAAGAACTCCTCTTGATTCTCAATCAATCTATGATCATTGTGTATATGTGATCAAAAGGGTGATTAATCATGGTATGAGAAGCTTTGATAAGAACTTTGTTGAATTTGGTTCATTTTCATTGGGTGTGAAATTATTCAGTTGAGCCTGGAGATGGGAGTAGGCAACAACAGTACATCCAGGTCAAGCTCTTTCATGGTCACAGAAGCTGAATCTGGAGATGATGATCATAAGCATCTGATTTTGAAGCAGGAACCAAAAATGGCGCCAAATCTCTCCACAACCGAGGTAAATCAACCAACTGGAGTTTCTGGGAGTTATGATTGAAGGGTGTGTCAGTTTTCTGGAATATGATTTTTTTTTGTTGGGGTATCGTGGTTATTTTTCATGCAGAAGGGGACCAGACGGAGGAGAGTGGTCACTACTGGCAAGAAATGGGCAGCAGGATGGAGGTGTTTACCTATGGGCTGCAATGGTTAATTGTTGACTTGAATTTTTAAGCTTTCAATAAGATAGTGATAAACAAACTTGATTGTGAGGAGGGTTTTTATCATTTCATCTCATCATCAGATAACTGGGCAAACCTTGGCCTGGTGATATGTTACAGATAGTAAATGATAATGAAAAATAAGGCATTGTAAATCTTCAAGATATGCTGTACTTATCTATTTAATCACAAATATCAACAATTTGTTAATGCTCAATAAGGTGATTTTGTATTTCTCATTTACCAAACTATAGTAATCCCAAGGTTTTTGGTGTAGCTCTTCCCGACTCCCGTAGCTGCTGAAAGTATGGGTGTTTCGGGTTCGGTTAATCAATAACTGTTAATACTAATAAATTTTGTGGTTTGTGGTTGCTCTGCTCTGCTATGCTCCCTAAACAAAAAAAGAGAAAAAAATGTTGCAATGAAATGGGTAAGGTTTATCTATTAATTGCATGCTATCGGTACCGCAAATGGTTGGTTTGACGATTTGTTATTAGTGGATGGCCTTTACGAGTCGATATTTTACTTTTATAATTTATTTATCTATGAATTGCAAAATTCATTAAGTTTAGGGACCAAGCTTTAACTTTAATACGAGTGAATGTGTACAAATTCAAATATGTGGAGGTGGGATTGTAATCCAAGTATCCAACCCATAACCAAATGAATATGAGTATAGTTTGTCAAATTGTGCTCATTTATATTATATATGTAAGTTTTGTATATAACTCAACCAAATTAAATTAAAAAAAGTAAGAAGTAAGAACATTTGCAAGTTGCAACTAAAGATGCATCGTTTCTAGTTGAAGGGCCCAATAAGAGGCGGGTCATGCTCGAAAGTCCAAACAAACTTTTCGTTGAGAAAATTGAATAATTGATACATGCAGCTCGTCACGATATAACCACGAAGCCCAATACTTTACAAATTCAAACGTCTTTGTTCGGCCCAAACATTCTGGTTCGAGTTCCCAATTGCACTGTTAGGACTAATAGAATAATTGATTGAATCAATATTGAGTTTAGTTCGGTTTAGTCCGGTTGAAAATGTCAATTCGGTATACTTTTTACTATTTATAAAATTTATGGGGTCAAGAATCAAATTACATGATATCCAATTTGGTATGATCTAGTCCAACCGTCAATTTGATCTAGTACAATTCTGGACGGATCAAACCGTTTCGCACCCCTACTCACAACAAGGAAGTGTGATGCTTTTTAGGGGTCGTTTGGATTAGAGAATTTAATGAGGGATTTCATAAGGATTTTAGCACAATCCCTCGTTATGCAGGATTTTAAAACAATTCTGCGTTTGGAAATAATGAGAGATTTTAGAATTAAGAAATTTAAAAACCCTCAATCGTGGGTTTTTGAAATAACGGATCACTATAAGCTATTTCTAAATCTCTCGTTCTACTTTCATTTATTCCAAAACCTACCCTTGTTCGACCCTTCTTCTCCGCCAACCTTCGTCCTCAAACCACTCTATTGTCGCAGACACAGAGCATCCCGGAGCAGCTTCCAGCTTTCCCCAACCATAGCCACAATTGTCAACCTTCCCCCATCGTCCTTTGCCGTTGACTCCCCAGTCGACTCTGCCATCCTCCTCGGCGGCATATATGGAATCTGGATTCAATCTATTACACTTAATCGTTTCCTCCCCGGTCGCCTTCACCGCCGTACATGAACCCTAATAACAACCCATCGACAACTTCTCTATGGCAGAGAAGCTCTCCCTTGGTTCTGGGTTCACTGGTCGCGCCGGAGACACCTGCCACGCCGACTCCAATATGTTGTTCGCATATGCATGGTTAAGAATCGAGAAGAAGTTGGGAAATTTGCAGGTTCAGATGGATTATTGGGGACGGGAAGGGGATCAGATGGGAGAGAGAAGAGGGAATCACCCAATTTGGGTTCCAATTGACTAGCAATTCTTTCTTTGTTCTGCAAACCCAATCGGTTGGAATTGGAAGGGAGTGAGATTTTGGGTTTGTGATTTTGGGGTTTTTATTTATCTTTGATTCTAGGGCTTTTATCTTCTTTCTTTAATCTGCACACAGTTATGAGATTTTGAGTTTGTGATGGAAGCATAAAAGAAAAGCAGCCTTTGTTGTGATTAGTTATTGTATAAGTAGGGGAAGAACAGATGATTGCTGCGAATAGTAGGTGTAGAAGAAGGAACCATTGCTCTAGTCTGTAATTTGTTTGATTGAGTGAATGAGGTAGAATATGAACAACGAACATACGAAGAAGACAAAGGACAATATTGTAAATTGAGTTTTAAGGTTAAAATTCTGCGTTTCAATCCAAACGAGTTATTTTGATCAAATCCGACATACAAATTTCCAGGTATTTTAAACGAGAGATTTTAATTAAAATCCCTCGTTATCAAAATCTCTAATCCAAACGACCCCTTAAGTGATTGTAGCTCACTCTAACTGGGCAAAATTAATTTTGGAAAGGACACCTCTTTTGGTTCATTTCATCCAAAATTTAAATTATCCAACATTATGCACTCTGTTCTGATCAAAGGAATTATATTGTGATTAGATGTGGTAATTTGAATCCAATATACCAATGTAGTTCAACACATTCATTAAAATATCCATCTAATTCAATTCATCTAAATTCTATTCATATAATCCAAATTTAAACGGATTGGTTGATTCGAGAAATGAATGACTGGAAAATTATAGTTTACTACCTATTTTAAGTCGTTACTTTGAATTCTCGATGAGTTTCTCAAAAAAGTCACTCGATGAAATCCCTTCACCAGAAAAAAACCCTAAACCTAATTTTCCTTTCTCACATATGTTCATAATCATATCCATTTTCACCATTCAAGTTGTAAAAAACACCAATCCCCATAACCCATGTATATTATAATAAACTTAAAAATAAACATTAATTGAACTCAACTCGTTAACATTGCAATGACCAAGATTTGAAAGTCTGTCAATTTTTTCAACGGAAAAAAGAAGAGCGTAAGATTGCGATAGATCTATACCATCATTACTGTTCCATGAGAACGATCAATATTAATCATAATTAAATAAATAGATGACAATTAGTAGCCAAAATTGTATTTTATGAAATTCAGTGGAAAGTTTTGCGGCAAGTAGATATGTCGGAGATATCCTATGATGACGACGATGATTAACCAGTTTGAAATTTTTAGCAAACACAATCATGGAAATATTTTGTCTTTTAATATTATTTAAAAACAATTGGGACGCAGGTTGATCCAAATTATGCCCCTAGGAGACTCTAGGACTAATGATACGAAAGACCAACAAGAACAAGCAAATAAATTAGTTCAATTGGCTAATGGACATTCGATGGAGGCGTCAAGGAACACTACATAGCCACTCTTGATCATATCGTTCAACCTCCATGCGATGTTCTTAATCGCAGCAGTTTTGAGTATTTGGACGGCTATCTAGAAGATGCCTGAAAGCGCACTGTCGATATCTTGATTCTCATGTATGATCAATTTGTGCTAAAATGTTCAGGGCATGACAAACAATCAATGTTAGATTCACGGGCTTGGCGGCCCACAAGACGACAAAGGAAGATGTAACAACTTTTACAAGGACCTTTTCAAGAACTTCAAAGGATAGCGAACGACGTGAACAAATGAGACATCTAGTTAAAGAGGAGAACATGACCAACCTATTGGTAAAACCCTACACATTCACATTTCTTTTGTAGAAAACACATATACTCGTCATCATAATTTTTTTTAAACAATTACATGTGACTGCCTTATTGATCGTATTTCTTCGACCTGACATTTATCATCTTGTATTCAGTCTCGCAATGTATTATGTTTGGGCAACACACTGAGAGAGATCCAATACACAACCAGTCTCATAACTTTTTTTTTTGTTGACTTCATACTTGTTTTGAGTAAGGATTGCGAAATTGAACAGAAACTTTTATCGAGAAAGCTAGCAATGAGGTATTTTGTACTAAAATCGTGGTTCATAGTTAGTAAAATATGATACGGGTAAGTTACATATAAAATATGTACGGGTATTTCACTTCATATCTAACCAAATGGTACGTTTAATAGTACGTCAATAGTTATAAATAGATGAAATTCATTATTTTAAAATTAAATCAATATATAAATAATATTTCAGTTGGCAATTTAATTTATTACATACGGATATTAAACTCGTTATAAGAGTTTTATATCTGTTTAGTACGGGATCCATCAAATGAACAGGAAAAATGAAATGACTTGACAATAATACGGATACAAAAGTTTTAAACGGATGAAATACACATATGTGCATTAAATGGAGTATTTACTAACTATATATGTCGTGATTCAACCGTTACGTGCTACTAAAAAACACCTATTAGTAAAGTATTCTTACGATCAAACCGTCGGTACAACTTAGTTGGTACGATATGGTTTCACAAACACTAATTTTAAGTTATATGTAAACTTTTGCAATGTTCATGACTAACTTAAAATAGTTTCTAAGAAAAGAATCTCTTATGAGAGTCCCTACTAACCGCCCATAAATCTATGATCTAAGCTATGCAACTCCCACTTACTTAATCTTCACTTTATTTATTTAATTTGTTGTTTCCTTTTCAATTGAAGCAACCCCACACTTGCCAATAAATTAATTATAAATTCCCTTTCCACTTTCTTCCCTTGTCACTCACAGTACTGTTTTTTGTTTTGTTCTCCCATCTTAGGATTCTAGACGTCATTAGTGTACTTAAACTTATCTACCAAAAGTTTAGTGGAAGGATTAAGGTTGAAGAATGGCCAATTAGAGGCTGCATAATGATATTCGATCATCATTGTTAGCTAGCTAGCCCACAGAGATTTTAATTTTCATTATCATCATTTCGTTTTTGGGTTACTAACTAATTGGTGGTTTGGTTTAAATATAATTGTCTCCTTTTGCTTTTGATGGATACTTGATTGGCTTATGTATGACTGAGTTTAACCATGGGTTGGATTGATCAAAGACTAATCCTTTTCACGATTTAAGTTACCAAAATTTGTTCAATATGATGATATAATTCCACCATGTTCACGATAATGCCTGTCTAATTAGTTGTACTAAGTCGAGGAAAGTTATGAAGCTTATACCGTCAAAGAAGTGATTTCTTGACTTCTTTTTCGTCAATAAGTATAGAAAGGCATAAAAAAAAACTGCATCTAATTAAAGGGAAGGGATAGTAATTGACGAGACTCACACACACCACAACTAAATCGTTCGATTATCAGTGGTTTTGTTGGGTTACAAGTTCACTAATCGCGGTCTTGGATGAATTATAGACCTCTTAATAGCTTTCACATATCTTTGTGATACCAACATGAACAATAGGATTAGGTATTTAGGGTGGCTGAGTGGAAACAGAATTGTACATGGAAATGGGAGACAAAAATGGACAACAAAATGTACATGAAAAG